ACAGGACAGCTTCCTACAATAAAGAATTATCTGGCCCAAAATGTCAATAGTGCTGAATTTAATCAACACTGGAATAGACAATGATCATCTTTAGTTACTAACATCACAAAAAGGCCAGCAGCACTGTGCCTCCTGATAAAAGTACTAACACCACCTACGGATTAGTGTTGCCAAAATAATTAAATCTAAATCTGATTAAGTCTCTAGCACCAATTTGCCAGAAAAGCAGAGGACCGAGGAATGTGCTAAATTACACCAAAAGAAGCTCAGCAAAATTCAGACTTTGAGAAAATCTATGGGACAAATGACCTGGTTTCTTAAAAAATAAATTAAGTAGTAAGGGAAAAAAGATGGAGGATGGCCTTAAGGATTTAAAAAGATTCGAGACATATCAACTGCAAAGTATGGACCTTCGTGATTTTGACTCAAATAAACAATTTTTTTAAACTATAAAACAATGGGGAAAATGTCAACTAGATACTTGATGATATTAAGAAATTACTGGTTTTTTAGGTGTGACAATGGTACTATGATTTTGTTTTAAAGAAAAATCCTTAGCAGAGGGGAGGAGGAAAATTTTAAAAATGTTTTAAAAATAATAATAAAAATTTAAAATTAAAAATAAAGAAGAATCTTTATCTTTAGAGATATTGAAATATTTATTGATGAAATTATATGTCAGAAATATGCACCAAATAAGTGAGTAGGAGGAAGACAGCAGGGGTATAAATGAAGCAAGACTGGCCATAAATTAGTCATCAGAGAATCACTGGCATAGAAGGTACATGAAAGCAGGTACTTTTACTCTACGTCACTTATGGCAACAGGACTACTGAGGCGTGGGTCTCCAACAAAATGGTCTTACTCACCCAAGGTAAATAAGGGTTTATTGTTCTGTTTGTTTGTTGTTTTTAAATTTTCCATCATAAAATGTTTGAAAAACAACAAAAGAATCTTCTAATAGCCTAACTCAAGGAACATTTAAAACTTAGCAAAACCCTTTGCACTATTTAATGCTGTTCCTTATTATTTTTCCTAAACTCTCCATTCCTTGGATTTCATGACACCAGACTCTCTAGATTCTTTTCCTGTCTTTCAGCTTGTTTCTTCTCAGTCTCCTTCATAGACTTCTCTTCCTCACTCTGCCCTTCAACATTGATCTTCCCCAGGATTCCACTGCCGGCCTATTTCTTCCTTTATACACCTTACTTGGATGGTAGCATCCATCTTCATAGTTTTCTTTACCATTACCCCTTTGTTTATTGCAATCATTTACCTTCCTCCTCCTGGATTCATTATCTCAGTGGATATCATCCCTGTCATCTAAGCTAGAAATTTAAATATTACCATGACTGATGCTCTCTCTCTCCACAGGACTTACTTTGGATACTAATCAATCAAGTTTTCCCATAC